TAAGAACTTCATACATCTCAGTAGAGACAAAACATTCTTCCTTGATGAAATATACCTTCATATCTTGATCACATACTTGACTTATGTTTAACATAATAGTAATCGGTCCTTTAGCAAGAAGGCCATTACCAAAACTTAGATACTCAATCTTGTATTCTTTAGATACCTAATTCCCTTAAACTTCCCTTTTAGAATCAACAACAATAGGGACCGCTAATTAGAACGAGTCTTAAACAAACCACCAGAAACACTTTTATTGCAGTCAAGTGTCTGGAATAGTCAGTGCCAAAATACCAATCATCTTAGTTGAAGTTCTAAGAAATGTGTGATGAAAAAGGAAATTATCACCTTCCCTGAGTTTTAACCACTGCTTGGTTAACCCATGTTGAAATTGACATTTGAGGAAGTAAACAAAACTATTAAAATCAATTTTTCACAGAAAAGACATCTTCAGTGCAAGTACATGTCTTTAGCTTGAGTATTCTGATGTCTAGAAAATGTTGAGACATTAAATTAACATCCTTGACTCAACTTGACTTTTGATAAAAATATCCTTTTTTCACTTGAGTTTTCTCTTTTCCAGTTATAGCTTGAAAAATCTATCCCTTTTAGCCTTCCAATCATCCTTCCACTTGAGGAACCTCCTTCAGAAGAACTGGACTAACCTTACGGACTTGATCATGATATCAAGTTTGAAGGATAATAAGAGATATCCACATTCTATTTTCTTCATGGTTGACAACCTTTTTTTTGTTCTAGATGCAAAAATCTTGAATAAACAGTCAGCTCCTCATTATCGTAACCGTCGAAAAATAAGAAAGTCGCCACCACTACTTATTCTATGATTGAGAAAAGGAACATACGGTAAAGTTACTGACATCGGTAAGTTTACTGGGATACGGCAATCAGGTTATTGGAAAATGAACAAACAGTAAGATTACTGACATCGGTAAGGTTACGGGGAGACGTCAATCAGGTGATTGGGAAAATGAACAAACAATAAGGTTACTGACATCGGTAAGGTTACCGGGAGACGTAAATTAAATGATTTGGGAAATGAACAAACAATAAGGTTACTGACATCAGTAAGGTTACCGGAAAACAACAATCAGGGGATTCGATTAGGGATTTATACTAAGCGTTATGATTTATGATTATTTTGACGTGCATTTTGATTGACGTGTGAAATGTAATGATTGATCCATGTATGTAACTTGAATATCTAGGATATGTATCAATGAATGTTGGACTTTGAGGTGCCAATTGGGATTTATGAAACCTCAATGGCATGGTGTTGACGATAGTCAATCTGGCAGAATAAAGGAGTGCGACTTGATATGCATGATAGTTGAATGTGATTTTTATTCAATGTATGAAGTGTGATGATTGATGCAATGAAATGCATTATTCTTGATATATACCACTGAAGATTGTGCCTTGGATATGTAGGATTCATACTACAAGAATATGCCAGATAAATGAGATGATATGTATGGCTCGATGCTCGAGCGAAATGACCTAATGAATGGATGACAATGATTTATGATGACTTGGAAGTTTTTATCTGATGCCCCTTTGGTGGGTCATGAATAGTTAAGGCTTAGGGGTTGCTTATGTAACAAGGCTTCTTGTCACACGATGATAGGGTGTTACGCTAGCATGACTTCTTGATACTCGTTTTGAACTCGAAGATTGCTGGTGTAGGAGAGAGCTTCATTGGAAATCATAAAATAAGAGGAGAGTTTTGCCCTTTGTTGTATGCCTTGCCCCAGTTTAGTAGGTCTTTGCATAGATTCTCCCTGATATGAGTTTTGAAACAGTTTGACTGCACTTAACCACTTGAGATGAATGGACCCATTATTTTGACCGGCCTTCCCCTCAACGATTTACCCCAATATTTGAATTTTGAGAGGTATGCCTCGATCTCTAGAATATGAAAGAATGTCCTAATAAGGAACTTGGATCTCACCATGATGTAATATAAATTTTATATGGATTGTCCCAAGTTTCCGAATCTTGAATGGTTTGTCCTTGAAGTTGCTTGAAAAGGAACATGGATCCTACATGTCGTAAGATGGACTTGATATGAACTGCCTCCATATTTGTGTTTTGAAAGGTCTATCGCTGATTATTAGTGTCTTGGAAATGTATGCCCCTAATTAATTGGTGCTTTGAGATGTGACCCAAACTGACCATTTCTTAGAGTGATTGCCCCTAGTCAGTAGGATCTTCACGTGAGATGTCCCTATGACCATTAGGATTTGCCCATCTGAAGCGTTAGAATCCCTGGGTGTTTTTCCCCTAGTTAGGAACTCCTTAAAATGCTGCCCTCGATCAGATCATTCTCGAGATTTGCTTGATGTTAAGTATTTATTCGCATATAAAATTTTACATTTTGAAAAGTAATTCTAATGTGATGCATATGCAAGTTTTGAAACCAAAATTGGCTATGAAAAATATATATGGTGAATTTTGATATGGAAAATAGATATGGTGTACAATGGATGAGTACAAATAAAGATGTGAAAAGGAGATATGGTCGGCGATAATTTAACAAGCATTAGGAGTCAGTTTAAAAACAAATTTGTTGGGTATGCTTTCATAGTGAACCTAGATTCAATAAGGACTTTTAAAGGTTGTAATGTGGCCTGCTTCATAGTCAAAGAAACAAAGGATATAAGTCTCGAACCTTATTTAACCCACCCTATTCTCCTTGATGTTATCCATTCCTAAATTAAAGTAACTCAACAAATACGTTCAATTTGTAATAGAATTTCTGTAGTCGCGATGATAATGAAAATCATTGATAAGGTTCAAGAATTGTTGATAAGCACTGGTAATTCTTCAGGTGGCAGTCACAAGCTTATTTTCCATTTTCTTTGCTTTTAACCCCTTTTTTTTGCATGGACCAATTATTTTGAATTTTTCGGTCCATCGGGACCCTCTAATTTTGTTGTGATAGATCAAGAGTGAAGGGTCTACAAATTGAATAAAGCGCTTTATGGTTTGAAACAAGCTCATAGAGCTTGAAAGAAACGCATTGGTGGTTTCCTAGTTGAAGTTGGCTTCAAGAAATGTGTTTCCTAACATGATGTCTATGTGAAAACGAATGCAAGCAAAGATGTGATCATACTTTGCTTATATGTGGACGACTTATTGATCACGGGAAGCAATGAAGTGAGTATTTCTAAATTCAAGAATGAACTTATGGAGGAGTTTAAAATGAGTGAGCTTGGAATCGTGACTTACTTTCTTTTAATAGAGTTTCACAAGTCAAAAGTGGGACTGCTCATGAATCAAAAAACGTATGCTCTTGAGATTTTGAAAATTTTTGATATGGAGCGATGTAATGCTTCCAAAACAACTGGTGAAGCAAGGTTGCAACTGTCCAAAAGTGATGATGAACATAATGTGTATATAACGCAATATAGGAAGTTGATTTGATCGTTACGTTACTTGTGCAATACGCGGCCATATTTGGCGTTTAGTGTCGGTATTGCGAGTAGATTCATAGAGAGTCTGAAGGTGTCTCACTTGGCAACAATTTAGAGGATTCTAAGATACATCAAATGAACTCTTGGCTGTGGAATTCTCTTTCCCGCAACTGATACGGGCATAAAATGTGAATTGCTCTGTTACACGAATTCCAATTGGTGCACAAATAAGGACGATCAAAATTTTACGGTTGGTTATGTCTTTATGTTCGGAGGAACTCCAATCTCTTGGTGTTCTATAAAGGAACCTGTGGTGGCACTCTCTTCTTATGAGGCCGTGTATATCACTGTATTATTGTGTGTGTCAGGTTGTGTGGCTTGTAAATCTATTGGAAGAGTCGGGCAGCAAGGTTGAAAAGGTTGTCACACTTTTGATTGATAATGTTTCATCCATTAATCTCGTGAGGAATCCTATAACACATGGGAGGAGCAAGCATATCGAGACGAGGTTTCATTACTTTACGGATCTGGTGTGTGCAGGCCAGTTGAGGTTAGGATATTGTCGAAGCAAAGAACAAGTTGTAGATTTTTTAATGAAAGAAGTAAGAAATGTGGTGTTCAAGAAGCTTGTGATGAGTTAGACATGAAGAACTTGGACTATTTGAATTAAGTAGGTGTATTGAAAGTCCTTAACAATTCAAATGCATTATGGAATCTTTTGAGATCGTTTAATTGAAAACAACTTATTGAAAAAACACTTCTGAAAATTGGAAATTTCGCAAAGGAAATCGATTATCAAGTTTGGGGTAATTGATTTCCACAATTTATTTTAGTTTTGGATTTCAATTTTAGTTGAGGAAATTGAGTACCCTTTTTGAGAAATCGATTTCCTCCCAGTGTTTTTGTTTTTTCAACTATTTTATGGGCATGTTTTGGTTTCAAATTATTTTTTTGTATCCTATATTTATTCTCGTTGTAATAGTTGAAATTTAATGCCATGATAACATATCTCTCTCTCTTTCTCCACAAATTCACATTCACTTCATCTTCTCCAATTAATTACATTTTACCATTAATTCACCTTACAAATTTTGTGCTTATTCCAACATATAACATCAAGAACTTTGACTCTGATCTATTAATTCACTGAAAAGGTAACTATATACTATATTATCTAGAAAAAGGGATGGTCATTAAAGAATAAAGAATCATTTTGTGTAGACAAGAATATCCCTAATAAATCTATGTCATATTATGATCTTATAACATAAATTCGACGATAAAAGAAACTTATATTACGAAATTCTAATATCTATAGAATATTTGAAAACCGTTGAACATGAGCATAAAGGGTAAGAAAATAACATGTTATATCATAAAAAAAATTACACTAATAATATATTCATAAGATATCATTATTATTAATATAATATAGATCAATAATTACTAATAAATAAAATTTATTTAATTAGAATTTTATCATTAGTAATATATTGTTAGCTAGACATAAGTAGCAAACAACAAGAAAAAAATGCCTAGTTTTACATCCTTAACATAATTGAAATATTAGATTCGTCTCCGTTCTAAATTAATACGCCTTGTTCTTGTTTCTGGAAGACCAATGAATAATTCAGTCTCCACATCTGAATTTGGACTACTCTGATCTGCATTACCTTCACCTTCACCTATATTTTCTTTTTCATTTTTTTTTGCTTGATGTGATGAATAACTACCATACTGCAGAAGAATTTGGATTTTCATTATTCTATGATAACTGGATGATTTATAAAACTAAGGGAGAATAAATGTTTCAAGTTTGATGCCAAAAGTTAAAGTTATCATATAGAAAAGTAAACACACCATCTCAGACAGCCTGACATTTTCAGCAACTAGGGCATTTTCCTGAATTGTATTCAAAAATAATTGTCAGAATCTTTTTGATGTAGGTTTTACACAATGTACATAACTTATGAAGCTTTTATTTATTTATTTATTTATTTATTTTTTTTGGAATGTATATGCATGAATTCTGAAAAATTTACAGAAATTATACAAGGCAAAAAAACACATCTTGAATTACATGTGAGAGACATTAATACTAGTTAGGGTTTAAGACAGTTTTACCTTTTCTTTTAGCTGGTGAATTTGTTCCCTGAAGACCAGAGCCTGAAAAACAGAAAGTTCAACTTTTAAAAGTAGCTATAAAAATTTTTATTTATTTAGATTTTCCGATCATAGTGACCTTTTTTGCTCGAATTTTGGTTATACTCTTCTCCAACTGTTGCTCTATTTTTTGTAGTTCATTAATGGAACAAGTCCCTAAATCTTCTCCTAAGAGTTTCCTGTGTGTATAAAGTTAGTTCAAATGCAACATATTCTCATTGTAATTGTATTTGTCAAAGTGAAAAGAAATTCGAGATGTTTAACCGTTTTGAAGTCTCGAGAAGATCAATCTTTTTCATCATGTTTTCTGCTTCTTCCTTCAAATGCTGCAATAATGTATACATACTTTTCGGTATCTATAAAAAGTATTTAAACTCTAGGATGATAAATAGGAAGAAAGTAAATGGAACTAGATTAACCTGAGTATTTTCAGCAGATTCAGATGTTGTTGGAGTATTATTAACCTGGCTATGACTGCGGTATCGATCAATTGTTTCTAAAATGCTGTAACAATAAAGCCAATGTTTAGTTATAAAATTTAACACCAAAGTTACAATTCAACACATAGTTAGTTACTTAGTTGTAAGCTTTCAAACCAAAGTTATAACTCAACACCAAGTTACCACCTTTCAGACCAAAGTTCTAACTTAGCACAGAGTTAATTAGAAACTTTTAAAACAAAATTAAAAACAACACACTACATGATTCATTTTGAAAGGATCTTTATTTTTATATGTTTCTTCATGTCATCAAATCTTACCTTATTTAATTTTGGCAACATTTCAGCCACAATTGAATCTTAATTCTACAACATTCAAGTTCCAATATATCATTAAATAAGGTAAAGAGTGCCTATCCAAGATAAGGAGTGCCTATCCAAGATAAGGAACCCACTAAACACAAAACAGCAAAAACCACTAGAAAGAAACAAAAGAAAGTCTCAACCACCAAATAGGATAGGGTTCTCAAATCATGATGAGAAAGTACAAGAGTTCCACATAGACTTGTCAAGACACCACTTTCAAATCAAAACAAAACTCATGTCTTCCAAATTTTTTATTGTCACCGAAGAAAAAGGAAAAATAATAGCATTCATAATTTTTTAAATCGACCAAACCACAACATCGAAGATCATCAAAAACTCCCTTCTAGTCTTATACCCCCACTCACGAGAATAAACATCTAGAAAAGAGTCACGGCATCCCTAAATAAAAGAGTTGACCAATCCAACTACCTAAAAATCTTATACCACACAGAGAAGGCAACCTCACATGTCACAGAGAGATGCGAGGATGATTCAACCGATAGAGAACAAAAAAGGATAGGAAATAGTCTCCGAGGTCAAGAGAATATCTCTCTTCAGTAAGTTATCTCTAGTAAGGATATGATTCCATTGAAGTTGTAAAGAGAAAACTATAATTTTAGAGGGAGTCCGGCGAAGCTAACCCAAATAGAAGGGAGAACTAAGTTAATGGGAGGGACCTCCGGATGCGGGGAAACTAGCAGAAAAGGAGATCAAAGTAAGACACGCCACCTCCACACATCACTCTCTGGTGACGGTCTAAAATCTCTAATCGCCGATTGAAAGTCACTAAAAAGTGTCAACTCATAATCAAAAAGGAAAGATCTCCACCACCTGAGAACTCAAATCGAGTTATCTCTACGTTGCACATTACACCAGGATTAAGTTCTTCACACTTACACTTTAAATGATTTTTATGTGTTGGACAATAAAGTTGGTGTTGATGTTTTTTGCTTGCATATCTTTGATGATTGTGGTTACCATAACTACTTTGACTCAAACAACACAGACACCACAATACAATAAAACCCTCCCGCTGTCAATGCATTACTGTGAAAAAACAGCACTGCGGTCCGAGGACTAAAGCTTGGACGCAAAACCTCATTCTTAATACACCTTCAACGTTCAACTTATATCGTCGGACTACACTTTCGCATATTCATACATTTTCCTTTTTATTTTGAAACCACATATTAGAGGAGAGAAATCATATCATAATTTATATGCTGCTGCTAATTATAAAAAAACTATTAGAAATAATATTAAATATAAAACAAGTACATGAACATGACACATACCTTGAGCTTGCAAACTCATAAAGTCTTCCACTTGGTGAGAAAACAATAAGAGCAACTTGAGCATCACACAAAACTGATAACTCAAAAGCTTTCTTCATCAAACCATTTCTTCTCTTTGAAAATGTCACTTGTCTACTTGTTGCGTTCTCTATACGTTTCATCTGCGTCTTCCCTCTCACCATCTTTGCTGAATTCACCACAGCAACCTAAAAAAGTATGAAAATTATGGAAAACAAATAGTTATAAAAATAATTTTAAAAAATTGAACTCAAATTCAATATATAACAAGAGAATCCTCTTCAAGAATGAAAAACACAATATTTTTTATAAATTAATTACAGGGAAAAGGGGACGAAACTGAAACATGAAAGTGTAATAACTTTTAAGATCTAGAAAAACTGTGCGAGATGAACAAATGGGATTTATTAGAATCACTTACCAACCAATGAAACCAAAATCTTAAGGTTGAATTATGAAGGATGAAAAAAACAAACAAATGGGAAGTTTAACGAAAAAAGTGAGAGATAATTGTATAAAATAGCTTCTTAGGATAGGGTCTATCATAAATACCTAGGTTAAAGATTTATATCTCATATCAAACAAGAGATTTTTCTGAACTTACCAGCAAGAAAAGCAACTCGAAAAGGAAACAGATTTGCACCAAAAATAGAGAAAATGAAAGAAAGAAGAGATAGGAATAAAGGGCTGAGTCTAAAAAAGGAAAAGAAGGTTAAAATAAATAAGAGCTAAAGAATCATAAAAAAGAAGAAATTATGCACCCCAAAGTACTGATACATAATTGAGGTAAGTTCAAAGGAAATGAGATGGATTTGACTATCTTTTTGAGGTAAGAGAAAAAGAAAATACACAATATTATTAAGAAACAAATCATTTTTATATATTAAAAAATGAAACCTAATAGGTTGCTTGTTTTGGTAAAAGGGATTTTCTTTCCACATCTAGTACCCTTCTCCAAGAGGTTGCTTGTTTTGGTAAAAGGGATTTTCTTTCCACATCTAGTACTCTTCTCTAAGATCTGTTGTGAAAAATCTAAAATATTTTTAGAATTCACAAGTGTACATGTGAACGCATCATCAACATAATTTTGTAGATTTACTTCGTATGTGCACATGCGAAATCATCTCTTAATTTTTTTCAGATGTGTATCTGCGAATTTAAGTCTAAGTAGATCAATCAACATTATTCAACGTAATTCATAACATTCATTTAACATAATTCAAAGAAATTACATAATTAGTTATGCAGAAAATTAAAATTATATATTGTTATAAACGGGAAAATATGATACTGCATTCTCTACTCAGACAAAAAGAAAAATATCTACATTAAAGTAAAAAGAAATTTGAAAATGATACTGCAAAATTTCTATAGAAAAAGGAAAATAAATGTATGTGTGTAGAGGAAAGGACAGATATATGTTTTTTTACTGTGCAAGATTATTTGTTGGTACAAGGACAGATATAGGTAGTACTAGTATTGTTATTAATGACATTTCTTTAGTAAGATATTTCATTTCCCAATGCCAGGTTTACATTGGTTTAGTAAAATTGAAGTTGAACCATAATGTTTTAAGTAAAATATCTGTTTTCAGTTTGGGGGATAAAATTGTGGTGTGGAGAAGATATTTATGCGTAGATAGTTAATCAGGTTTCTTTTTTTTGTTTGTAAAAAGTATTATTTATTCACAATTATAATATGAATTGAAATATACCAACACTATAATAAATAATAAATAATATTTATGACGAAATTTTCACTTCGTATAAGAAAAAAAATCGCAAGTACATGTAATGAGAGTGTCTTGTTTTATTTTTAAAAAAAATATAATTTATTCTATCGGTTTTAAATAAAATTGACATAAATATATTTTTAGAATTTGAGATTTAATTCTCAATTTTTGCAATTAAATATTTTATATGGAATCAAAAAGATGCATTTATTTTTTATAGGTTTTACGTCGAATATGTTACATCGGTTTTCAGTAAAATCGAGATAACAACTCCCTAATTTTTAATTTTATTTTTGCAATCAAAAAACACTTTTATTTTTTATAGATTTTACGTCTGATATGTTACATCGGTTTTCAGTATAATTGCGATAAATACTCTTTATATTTTTTATTTCCTTAATGTCTACCTCGTTCATTTTTCGAGCTCTAACGAAAGAACACTTCTTTTCCAGTGAACGAAAGAATTTATCACCATTATTCTCCAAAGAGGCATAGCGAACAAAAAATCTCTCACCATTATTCTCATATTTGTTATTCTTGTTGTTCTCCATTATTGTTATTCTTGTTGTTCTCCATTACTGTTGTTGTTGTTGTTGTTAATGTTGTTGAGAAACTTTATTTTTGTTGGTTGTGTACTATTTTAATTTTATTTTCAGAAGCCTTATATGATTATGGATCGTAGTTGGATTAAAGTCAATAGATTAAGTAAATAGTATGAGAATGGAGTGTTACAATTTTTTTGTGTCCTTGTATGAATTGCAATAATACAAAAAAATATATAAGATATTTTATATTCAATCATTGTGGTTGTGATGAATTTACTCAAAATTACACGAAATGGGTATAGCATAGTGAAGGGAGAAAAAAATAACTATGTCGCATACAATTGAAGATGAAGATTATGAATTTATGACTGATAATCTAGAAGACATCATTCATGATGTTGGATAGATGCTTTCAAGAAAGCTAATATGATAGATACTTTGCGAAGAGACATGGAAGATTCGTTGTATCTGGGATGTAAAATTTTTACAAGATTTTCAGTTGTGCTAAGACTATTTAATCTTAAGACAAGAGGTGGGTGGACGGATAAAAATTTCATGGAATTGCTTGAATTGTTGAAAGAAATCCTCCCCAAAGATAACACGTTGTCGAACCGTACTTATGAGGCCAAAAATATATTGTGCCCAATGGGTTTGGACTATGTCAAACTACATGCATGTCACAATGATTGCATCTTATATAGGAAAGAGCACTAGTGCAGAAATGACTTTTTACATCGGGTGAAATTGACTTTTTACATCAGTTTTGGGTCCGATGTAAAGTCAGGCGATATAGTAAATCAGGGACTTTTTACATCGGTTCTGGGACCGATGTAAAAAGTCCCTTTTTTACATCGGTTATAATATCAGAACCGATGTAATAACCTGTTATTATGCACATTTTTTAAAAAATTGATCCAGTTTTTTACATCGGTTGGAAGTAATACCCGATGTAAAAAGTCCATTTTTTACATCGGTTATAATATATGAACCGATGTAAGAAACAGTTATTATGCACATTTTTTAAAAAAATTGATCCAGTTTTTTACATCGGTTGGAAGTAATACCCGATGTAAAAAGTTCCCAGTGACGCGACTTTTTACATCGGTTATTATCCCCAACCGATGTAAGAAACAGTTATTATGCACATTTTTTAAAAAAATTGATCCAGTTTTTTACATCGGTTGGAAGTAATACCCGATGTAAAAAGTTCCCAGTGACGCGACTTTTTACATCGGTTATTATCCCCAACCGATGTAAAAAGTCCCTTTTTGAAAGTTTTCACATCAGTTTTGAGTAATAACCGATGTAAAATGTATGAAATTTTTTTGGAATAGATTATTTATTTTCTGGGTTTCCCTATACAAATATAATTTGTACCCATTTTTTCATATTTTTCCAATATCAAACAGACTATATTTATGTCGCTATATAGATTTCATAGTTTTCCAACATCACATATATCACATTTAGGTCGATGTTTTCATATTTTTCACAACAAACTTACAAATTGAACAATTGTATTGAAAACTTGTATTGTATTACAACAAACAAACTTACAATTACAAATTACTCACAAAATATAAAACAATATTCAACTATTTATAAGTCTTTTTCAAAACTTACAATTACATAATATTCACAAAATATACATATACAAAAATATTCAACTATTTCTAAGTTTCCAAACTTGAATTACCAATATAAAATCTTCGGTAGACAACACCAAAATCATATTGCCTGACAATAAATAATAACAATTAACATCAGCAAAAAAAATCAAGAAACTCAACACATGAGCAAAAACCACATGTATTGTGCAAAAACCATAACTTATACAATTCTATAAAACTCACCAAGATAAACTTAAGTTCCAGTAACTCAAAGAAACATTTTGCCCAACGAAGTCGCAAATCATACAAATTATCTGGTGTTAATTCTGTTGGGTCATCAAATACCTATAATACATAAATATAACAATATAGAGTTATTTTTAAAAAATTCATATTAAGTCGAAAAACAAAAAGTAAATAACAAAGTAAAGTTATTTTTAGTACATGTATCCAATTCTCGGTTATATTAGCAGAGACAATATCCAACATATTTTTCATCACATAGTATCCACAATCATTAGAGTTATGTTGTTGCCTTGTCTACAATTGAATGACATAATTAGTGAATATTTATCATAAATTTAACTATAGAATTACAATTTACATCACACTTACATTGAGATGAAGCCATGTAGCCTTTTTTCTATTTCCATTTGCCATTTGATGAATCCCAAAAGAACTAATACAGAAAGATATAAATATCACATAACTAAATATACTCGCCAATGAAAAATCACATAACTATTAGTTGTCAATGAAAGTCACATGAAAGATAAACTTACTTTGTAATAATTTTCTTCGTGTTCTGGTCAATTTCTCGATGAAGTGAACAAAATACGACAACTCAATTGTCTCTTGGACACATGACTATTAATTGCCAATGTCTCCTGTACGTGTGTGTGGAAACAGAAAAGTCACATAAAATATATATGTTATCAAAATTAAATAATATAAAACACAATAATGAGATAATCTATTTTGTTTGAATAAGTCATGCCAGAAACAAAATGAAAACAGACATATACCAATACCAACTAGTAAACATCCAGAAGATGAAGAAATACATACATTATACAGTGCAAGTATTCAATGCAATACAAACACTAACATATTATACTATCAAAGAAGCCTCATTTTATAGCTGCAGTAAACAAACCACGTTATATACCAATGCATCAAACAGTTACAAGGATAACGGAAAACTCACTTACAGTTGAAACGACGATAAATCGGGCGGCGAGGAATCAGTTGAAACGGCGATGAATCGGGCGGCGACG